GAGTTTTAAAATATTGGCATATCGGATATCGGCCAAAATCCCAATATCGTGCATCCCTAGAAAATCTAAACATTTTCAGTTAAGAAGCTTACTGGAAAAAAGTCCAGGTTACTTCTGTGTCCGGTTAGTTCTTCAGGTCTTCTTCTGTCTCCAGCAACAGTCCACCCTTTTCTAATCTAACCCAAGCCATTGAATTTTTCTTGCTTTCACAGAACCGTCCTTTAATATGCTCCTATACATCATCCTGAGATCAGCCAGCTTTTTTTGTAATGCCAGTTGTGGCTTACCCTCATTGTGCACGATGTCAATGCCTGTCTGCTTGAAATCTGTGGGGTCAGCAGTCCTCTCCATTATTGTGCTGGCCATAACCACACTTTTCTGCCTTTTCTGGTACATTTCTGAGAAACTATGTTTTTCATTACCTCTAAACCATAACCCTTACAAAAACAGATAAATAAAAACTTTAAATATATTGCTGAGTTATGAATTTACATATGTGAATTCCCCTTTGTGAATTGAATTACCAAATTCAAATCACTTTTCCGTTATAGCCCAGGTCAATAAAATGCAGATGTAGTTTGTGTAGGTGGGGTTTTATTCCTCTTTCTGGTTAAATGACCTTGAGCAACATTTTTTCTTCTCCCGAAGTACATTAGACAGACAGAAACAAGACGGCATCACAGACAGATAGATGCACAAACAGGAGGAAGAAACACATACCCACAAAAACAAGTCACTGCTTGAAAGAGTTATACCTGTTGAGTTGCGTGCATCAACTTCCCAAGATGAGTAGATGGATAGTTGAATATTTAGATGGAGGATGGATGGATGGATGGATGAATGAATGGATGGATGGAGGAACAGATGCATGGAAAAACAGGAGGAGTGCATGTTAAGGTCAGGGGTCAAGGATTAGGGATATCAATAAGAAGGAAGAGGACAACAAGAAAAAAAATGCATGAAATAGCTGCAAACACCCTCAAAAATCCAACGTTTTTCCATCTTTTTGTGAGTTTTTGCATGTCGGTTCATATACAACAAGAATCTCTAACAGCTATGCAGTTTGTGTGTTAAAGCAGAAAATACCAGTGACTGTACTGACCCCCCCCTTTCTACTCCATGACTAAGCATCTTGTGAAAGTGCAAGAGTGGAACTGGTTTTACCTGTGAAAGTGTTAACTCCGTTCGTCTGGACGGAAACTGAAGGGGTCTGGGATGTAAGGGAAGGAGTCACAGGTGATGGGGGGAGGGAGGAGGAGTCAGGGGAGGAGGGCAAGTCAGGGAAAAGGACGTTGGAAAGGGTGGTGGTGGAAGAGGGTGGGGTTGTCAATGAGATGACAGGCGTCAAAGTGGAGGAGTCAGGGGAAAAGGTGGAGAGGAAGTCAGGGGAGTCTGACCCTGAGCCTTGGAAGACATCAGGGAGGGAGTAGGGGATGGGGGAATTCGGCAGAGGGAAAAACGTAGGGGTAGCAGTTGGGAAGTAGGGTTCATTGGGATCTTTGTAGGTCAGGTGGTGGAGAATAAGTTACAAGGCAAAGATAGATAGGCAAGCAAAGCGCAAAATAAAAAAAAATAATAATAAAAGAGAACAGACCAACATGTAGAACAATCACATCACATCAACAGCCAGGGAAAAAAGGTGCAATAATGTGCAAAAGCGGTTTGGTGGTAATGATTGCACGGTTGGATGAGAAAAACAACAAAACAAAACAAAAAAGAAAATCAGAAGAGGAAAAAAATGGACGAACAAGCATTGCCACAACAAACAACAGAAGAAATAGAAATAAACGTATGATGAAGAAACGTAAAAGATCCCTATAAGTCCAGTTTCTTCCTCTCTCCTCTTACCTTGAACGTCAAGTGTGTAGCTTCCACTGCCCTTCCCAATGTCGTTGCCAGCATGGCAGATGTACATGCCATTATCTGATTTGTTGAGCATTGAAAAAGACAACAGAGCTCCTTCTGCTTTGGCCAGTGGGGGGAGCTCTCCCTCCACCTTTTCCCAGTTGAAGATGGTGGGCCTGAGAAGATAAAAACAAGAAACATGAGCTAGTTGATATGCACATTCTGCTAATAAAGTAAGCAAGCAGTGGAGTGAAAAGATGGATAAAGACAGAGAAAGGGTTCAAGGAGAAGAAAGAAGAGAAAAAATAAAGATAAGAGCCACAGATGACAGGAAGGAACTGTATATATATATATATATATATTTTTTTTTAAATCCAATTCTGTTTGATCAATATTCCATTTTACAGATAACAGAAAACATGCCATTTAGCAAAAATTGAAGAATTGTTTTCACTAACAGAATCTATAACTGTGACACACATTAGACATGGAGCTTTAATGCAATATCTTGACACAGAATCTATTAAACCAATCTGCCTTCAGAGGTCACATAGTTGGTTAATTCATCTGACAGGCTGTTTGTGTTGGTTTTATACCGCTCTTTTAATTGAATTGCAATTATTATTCTGTATCTGCCATATCCTTCACAAGGCTTTAACTGTTGTTTCATGGATCAACAGCTGAAATAAGAACCTCTATGTTAGATAATGTAGGAGTAAGATGAGTATACCATAAATACCAAAAAAATAAGTAGAATGACACCCATAGAAACTCTGGAAGAGCAGCAGAGATCAACAACTCAGGTAGAACATGTTGGAAACCAGAGTATAAATCAGTGCCTTACAAATCCAGTCTGTATGTACAGTAAGTGTGGCAAAAAGAAAACCATCTTAGAAAGACAGACTCTAAATCACTCTCATCTGCAGTTTTCCACAAAGAAGTAGGAGATATAGTAAATGTGTAAATGAAGTTGATTAGATCAAAAATCAATATTTTTGGCCAGCATGCAGATTATACTGCAAGGTGTCCTGATGATAACCATTAAAACACATTTTTTTCTCAAGCAGGTCTGAAAAGCATGTTACTGTAGATAATAATATGTATGAAGTTAAATTAAGGGTAGTATTCAAAGAAACCTGCTTAGAAGCTTAAAACAAACGTAAGACGAGGACAATATATCAAGGCTGTTATTGCAGCACAGACACAAATCCTAAAATTATTTTGAAAACTTGTCCATCAATGTGAATGTTCTTAAGGTATTTTTGTGCAAAGCTAGAAAAACCCCTGCCTGATTAGTTACATAGAATTTAATGAGAATAACAAAAAAAAAACATTCATTTTTGGTTTTAATCACCCTAAAGAGATTCTGCAGGTATGGATGCATATGCAAGGCTAGACAGGATTGAAAGAGATTGAGTTAGATGTTTGGCAGCAGACAGAATGATGATGATCAAAAAGACAGAGGAGTGCGCTTGGAAAAGAGATGTAGGGAGAAGGAGACAACGGAATCAGCATTTCAGATCTGCCCTTGTTAGAAAAATCCATTCAGCGTAACAGATTGTATATGAGAGAGATAGCAAGACGTTACTTGATAAAAGAATCAATTATGCAAATAGGAAAGTCCTTAAGCGCTGTACAGTAATTACAATTACTGCAAGTCAGAATCAGGCACAGAACTGGATGTCTTCCACTGATTAGAAATATGTACATAAAGGTGCAATCTGTCGACGTAAAGCTTTTAAGTGAGCATTAGTCTCCTCCTCGTTATATTTGCAATTACATCAAAATAAAAAAATAAAATTAAAACTCTTCCTTGCTCATAATTAAAGCTGCATTGTGTAAACCAAACAGCAGTTCAGTCCCTCAGCACTTGGCTTCGCTTTGTTAGTTTTGCATTCACTATAAGAACACAAATGCCAAGGAGGAGCTTGCACACTCAGTCAGCTCTCCCAAGACAAATAAAAAAGATTATCCAAGCATTATGTATTTAAAACAAGTGCGTCTGGTTACCTGCTATAAAATGTAATCAGCTGCTGTATTACGTTTCCACTAAATGCGACATAATATGCAATTAATTCAACAATTAACTGCACATTTAACTGCTGTTGCTTGTGTTCTGTTATTAAATATAATGATAATATGCTTTAGTAGCGAATACAGGTCAGAGCACAAGAAACCTGTCACATTATGCAAGTATAAAATCATATTTTCAATGGATATAAAAACTGCCTTTATGTGAACATTAGCAAGCATTAATAAACATTTGATTAAAGTAATGAATAGCTAGAAGACATTTTTATTGCAACTATAGCACCACTTTCAAGAAGACTGTTTCAGTGTTTTTGTTCAAATAATGTGATTAGTTTGTTTTTTATTAAATAATTTTTTATAAAAAACTCTAATTTGAGTATTATATTAGAAAACTCTTATATTAAGAACAGCTTTATTTAATGATGAGATAGGTTTATATAGATTTACAGACAAGACTTTGTCTCAATCATATTATCTAGATATTATCTTTTAACAATAGATTAAATATATTTAACACTATCAGCTGTATAAAGATGATCTCTTTTTAGTTTTTGTAATAGATAGATGCAGTAAAACTGTTTTGAATCCATTCGCTCTCAGCAATAGTTTTGAGGCTCATAAGGCAGCAGGATTCAGCAAAAGAGCTCTGATGCTGTTACTTCCTACCAGGCATTAAAAATCCAACAGTGAAACTCAGTGGTGAAGAAAAGGGAACTGAATCTGTTTGATTTCTAACGTCAGACATTTTTCTCTGTAGTCAGTAACAGCAGAAGGGATCATTGTCACAATAATATACAACTTTCATTTTATCTCCTTCCTTATCTTAAAAAGCTCTCTACGTGCCTATCCTTAGAAAAATACTGCTTTAAGGGCCAGGATCAACAAAAGATGATGTGTAAATATTTACTTTGTATTTTACACTTTAAGCCTAATAAAAACAAAATAAACAGCAATAAATGAATGTTTTGATTTTTTAAAGTAGTGAATAACACAAAATATAATAGGAGTTATAATAAATATTACAAACCTATAATTAAAGATGATATATTTTTTTAAATAATAAAATAGAAAAAAAGTATAAGTCCCAATTGGTGAAAGAAGCAAATCTTGGCCTGAATTGTGATTTTAGCTTAAACTCAAACATAATCTGGATCCTTACAAAATGCAAATAAATGATTCTTTGGCATGAGGCACATTTTCCATCAAATCCGTTCATATGTTTTCAATTGATCCTGCTAACAAACCAACAACGTTCCTTTTTTTGTGTTTTAATCTTTAGTAAAATACCTCCAGACTTTTTGTATCCGATGCTGAAGCTGTCAACAGTCACTGCTGCCACCCTCTGGTTTAGTGGGGAACTGCTTGTTCTGCCAAAGATCCCTATCTCACAATGTTAGAGAATCTTTGAAAAAATTCTGCTATCCAGATTAATATTTGGATCATCACCAAAATGTACTGGCTTTTTCCCTTCCATGAGGGACCTCTGATAAAATGTTTTCTAAAATCAGTCTATGAATTTTCCTGTATACAGATTAGGGGTGGAACGGTTCACAAAATCCACGGTTCGGTTCGGTTCACCGTTTCGTGGTCACAGTTTTCCGTTCGCTTCGGTATATGTTGATTGTTAGTAAAATCTATTATGTCTTGTA